GGTTGCCCTGCGGTCTGTGAGAAGCCTGGAGTTTGGTGGCACTTCATGGAGGCGTGCACAGCTGGCCAGGCTGGGAAGCATGGGACAAGACTCCTCTTGTCCTGCTGTGGAGAGAGATGCTGACTCCGGGCTAGGAGGCAGCAGCAATAAAGCTGCCTTATTGCACAAGGAGGGAAGCCACGGTAGCAGCAGGAAGCCGAGGCTTGGCTTGCACCAGTTTTTACCACAAATCCTGGGGGAGTCAGAGGGATTGAGAGTGGGTTGGAAATCCCCATTCCAGGATCTGTGGAAAGGAACAACTCCAGGACCTGCCCATAATGGATCCCTGACTGCAGCCTAGCTCTGCTGTGCGCACAGAGAGCCTGGGCCACCCAGGACGGGCTGGCCAAGGGCGGCCAGGCAGGCACGTAGCCCTTTGGCTTCCGGCCAGGGGACTCACAGCTTTCCCGGAAAGACTGGGACGACCGCTCTGTTCTTTTTGCATCTGAGAATATGCGGCTGGGGAAACCTAAATTAATTAAGTGGTGCTGAGGCCCTGAGGCCCTCCGGAAACAGTGCGGGGGGTGGGGGGAATGGTCGAAGCCTGAGCTCACTGCACCCCCCGCCCCCTCCCCCTGCTCCCCACCCAGTGCTGGAATCCACAGAGGCTCCTGGGCTGGCTGGGATCTAACGCTGCACTTCAGTGCTTCCAGAGAGACAAAGAAATCATAAATCAGGAGCAGGAACCCCACCCACGCACCAAGCAACGCGCTCGCTCACTCGGTTCACATTGCTGGCATCAGACATGTCGCCAAAGCAGCAAATGGCAGAGCCCCAAAAATGATGTGACCCCCCCACGACCGACTGTCTGGGCAGTGAAGCCAGGCTGACCCAGTGTCTCCCTATTAAGCAGCAGCTGTTTCCTCAGGACCCACCCAAGATCACACACACATACTAAGCCAGGCACTGTGCACAGCAAGTCTGCCACACCTGCCTCGGCCTCCGCGCTCTCCAACAAACTCCCCCACGCCCCTCCAACGCCAGTCCAGTAGATTCTGTTCCATCAGACCAAGGCCAGGGTTGCCAGCCAGAAATCACCAAACTTTGAGGTCACACACAACAATGAATCCATAGCAAATGCAAAAGCTCTGACTCAGCCCCAGAACTCAAGCTAAGGTCTTCCAAGTCAGTCTTTCCCTTGTGCCCTGGGGGACCGATAGCTGGATGCCGAGCTACAGCATCTGTGTTCGAATCTCTCTCCACCACCTGTTAGCTCTGTCTGCGGATGGTTGGTGAGCTCATTTCAATGAGTTAGGATTTGCAAGGTGCTCACAGCAGGGTCTGGCACACAGTAAGTAGTTTTGTGTGTTTCTCTAACAAATTCCTTCTTTTACTGGTTGAGCATGCATTAAGCAGCAAATGCATACTCTGTAGCAACAATGCTGGATCTAATCGAGAAAGCAATGGAGAGAAAATGCTTTCCATTTGCTCCTATGGAACCGGGTGGGAAGTTCCCTTCTTCCGGTAAGATAGGGAGAAGCCCCTCCCCCCAAAGGAATTTATCAAGAAATCAGGTAAAGAGGGAGATGCCAGAAGCGCAAGATAGACGGGACCAGCCCTTGCAGGAGGTGGATGACAAGCATCGCCCGGGCCAGTACCCTGGACAGCTCCCGCCTACACAGGTCGGAATGCAGGGATACAGGATGCTCTCCAGCCCTCCTATGCCTCTCTGAGGCTCTAGCATTTTGCTGAAAGGGTCCTTGGCCCCCTGGTGTCCCCTGCACTCTGGTCCTTAAGGCTGATGGAACAAGGGGGTTGCCTCATGATCCGGAAGTTTGGAGGTGGCAGAGTCTACCATGCCTGGTCCTGCTTCTCATCTCGCGTGTGACCCAAAGGTGGTCACCTTGCAGGGACACAAGCAGGCAGCGTGAGTGCCAGGATACAGGCTCTCCAGCCGAGGGGGAGAGCCAGGCTCTGCCGTGGGACCCCGCCACCAACAGCCTGGGCTAAGATGTGGCCCACAGCATCCTCGCTGCACCAGTTCTGAGGCATGAGCAGAAAATCGCACGTGCTCCGTCCCTGGTGCAGGGAAAATCATAATGAATGTGTCTGCTTCCTGCCTCACAGGAACAGAGTGCTGGAGGGGGCCTGAATTCAAGCACAGCCCGGGACCGCGTGGATCCCACGGGGCTGGGAAAAGGGGGTTGCCTCCAGGAAGCCCAGGGAGGCTAGTTTCCCGTCTTGTGATTCCGGCTCCTACCTTAAACCCTTTCCTTTTGCTTTTTTTTTCCGTTTGGCCTTAGACAGGGCAGGCAACACTGGCATAAACAATCATTTGTCTGTGGGCTGGAAGGCTGCCTGTCCCTTGGGAAGTCTCATAATTGCCAAGTCAAAGACCCCAAGGTCTCACACTCTGATGCCTGCAGAACTAGGCAGGTGGGAGGTTTGCAGGGAAGGACAGGGGGGCCGCTGGGGCAAGCTCAGAACGGTCATGCACCAAATAAAACTTCCAAGTTCTCTTACCTCCAGTGAGCCCCTACCCCCACCCCTGGCCACAATCCCTCCTGTCCAAACTTGGGTGTCTGTCTCCCCACCTCTTAGGAGACAGACCCAGACAGGGGCTCAGCCAAGGTCTCCTCAGGCCAGGCCTCAGTGCCATGGAACTCTCTCAGACAGAGGGCCCTACAGAGCAGGGTCAGCCAGTGGACGCCTCTCCTTGCCCCAGGTGGCGTGGCGAGAGGAGAGCTTAGGCAATCACAGCTGGCAGGGCCACCGTCTCAGGTCTGACGCTGTGTCTCCAACGCTTCAGGACAGAGTCATCTTAGGGTCGGCTGCCAACTTTCCAACACCCTCCACATGCTCCGACAGCCCCAGACGGGCCTAGCTTCATAGCACCCACCTTAACCTGCAGGGTCAGCAGCATAGCCAGGACACCCCGACTTCGGGGGGTGGGATGGGGCTGGGGCTTCTTGTTCCTGCTCCTCACATAGACCCTCTACACAAGTGACATGAGGGGGAATGGCAACTTTCCAACAGAACAATGACAGTGGCGAGTTGGCACACTGCTTCCAGTGTGTGCCAGGCAGGTACTTGCATGGCAGTTACCACCCATGAACCCCTTTTAGAAATAAAACAACTGAGGAACCCAGACACCAAGTCATTTCCAGAGGTGGGGTGCTATGACAAGCAGGTGGCAGAGGTGAGAGCCACCGGAGCTCCCATAAAGCTCCTGTTCTTCTGCCCGGGGCCCTGGGGTCTCCTACCGGGTTGGGAGTGCATGAGGCACAAACGGCCACATGCATTTTATTTGGTCTGTTTTTAGACCAGAAGGGGTGGGGAGAGAGAGAGAGAGAGAGAGAGAAAAAAAAAAAAAAAGCAAACCAGAACCTCAACAACGCAAGCCCCGCGGGGCCACCCTCTTTCCAGCCAGCATCGGGACTAGAACACCAGCTCCAGGGGCCATCGGCGGCCAAAGCCCTTCGGGGGGGGGGGGGGGGGGGGGGGACGCAGGTGCAGCGTGGCGCAGCGCAGTGTACAGCGGGGACTGACCAGGTCAGGTGGGGGCTGAAAAGAAGAGGCCTCCGGCTGCGGGCCTCTGGCACGGTGAGCCTAGCTTGCTGTTCCCTGCCTGGACGGGGGTAGGGTGGGCGCGGCGCCCCGATCCCGCAGCTCCCGGAGGGACCCAGACCACGTCATTCCTGAGCCCAGACAGCCCATCCCCAGAGATGCAGAAAGGAGGTTGGAAAAGTGGGTGGAGGCGCAGAGAAGCTGAGGGAGGGTCTGAGAGTTCAGTGGAGAAGGGGAGACGTGGAGGGGCGAGGTGGACCCGCAAGGTTCCTGGGCCCGGACTAATCCTGGGGCTTCCAGAGTAAGGACCAGGCCACCTCTCCCAGCTCGGTCCTCACATGCTCCTAGTGGGGAATTTTTAAATTTGTTTTTATGCTGTGACAATTTGCCCAAGGACCGGTATGTCCCAGCCTCCCCTCCCTTCCTGGGGAGGGGGAGGGGGGTGATTTATGTGGGGGCGGGGCCAGAGGAAAGCTTGGGGAGGGGGTCTGTGCCCCGGAGTCCCTCGGCTCGCGCGGCTCGCCCCGTGCCAGCTGCGAGGACAGATGGACGCGGACGCGGCTCACCTCGGGGGCTCCCTGCCCGCTGCGCACCGACTCAGGCCGAGGCGGAAATCCAGAGTCCCCGGCTCCCACCCCCTCTCCGAGAGGGATGGGGGCGGCGGGGAACCTGCTGGTCCGTCCCGCTGCCCCGCGGGGACTTAGCCAGGAGCAGGGGCGCGAGGGCCGGCGCCTTGTGCGGCGCGCCCACCCCGCTATCCCCCACCCCAGGGGCTGTCCCTTCCGAGAGTTTCCCGCACCAAGACCCCCTAACTGGGGCTCCCAACCCTGGAACGCGGGGACCCCTACCCGGCCGCGCCCCGCCCCCGGCCCCCGCCCCGCCGACGTCGTATTAGCATGAGCGACGCAAGTGGCCGGGGCATCACTTGGGGGCCGGGACTCACCGCGTCACAGCCCCGAGTGGAAGCGAAGGAGGAGAAAAAAAAAGAAAGAAAAGGAGGCGGCGGCTGAGGAGGCGAGAGCGGCCGCGCGGGGCGGGGAGGTGAGCGCGGCGGCAGCGGTGGCGATGCCCCTCGGCCGGCGCGCGCGGCCTCACAGCGCGGCGGGGGCAGCTCCGGGTGCGCCCCGTGCGCAACGCGGCCAGTCTCCGGCCGCAGCCTCGCAGCGCACCCGCCCCTGAGCACGGCGGCGGCGGCGGCGGGTCCCTCGGGCCGGCCAAGGGCGCGGCAGCGGCGGCGCCTCGCGGGACGGAGCCCTTGTCTTTCCCGGGGCACGGGGCCATGCGCCGTGCAGCCACCTGAGGCACAGGGTGCTCTGCGCGGCGAGGACCGCGCTTCCCAGCCCATCCACCCTCCACCAAGTCCCGCGCTCTCCTTTCTGCACTGCGGGGGGACGTCGGCGCCCTCACCTGCTGGAGAAGCGTCCGCAAGAAGAGCCTCGTGGGGGGTAGGGGGCATGGAGTCCGCGGCGCCCGCGGGCCAGGCCCGGGCTGCGGCCAGCAAGCTGTCCCAGGCGGTGGGCGCTGTGCTGCAGGAGCCCCGGCGGCAGCGGCGCCTGGTGCTGGTCATCGTGTGTGTGGCGCTGCTGCTGGACAATATGTTGTACATGGTCATCGTGCCCATCGTGCCGGACTACATCGCCTCCATGCGTGGCGGCCACCACGACCCCACGCCGACCACCGAGGCCTGGGCGCCCACTTCGCCACCGACGCCGACACCAGCCCCAGACAACACCAGCGCCAACGCCTCGGCGGCCCCGACGGCTGCGCCGCGGCCGGCTGTGTCGGGCCTGCTGCGGCCGCGCTACCCGGCGGAGAGCGAAGACGTGAAGATCGGGCTGCTGTTCGCCTCCAAGGCCATCCTGCAGCTGCTGGTGAACCCCCTCAGCGGGCCCTTCATCGACCGCATGAGCTACGACGTGCCGCTGCTCATCGGCCTGGGAGTCATGTTCGCATCCACCGTGCTGTTCGCCTTCGCCGAGGACTACGGCACGCTGTTTGCCGCGCGCAGCCTGCAGGGCCTGGGCTCCGCTTTCGCCGACACGTCGGGCATCGCCATGATCGCCGACAAGTACCCCGAGGAGCCCGAGCGGAGCCGCGCGCTGGGTGTGGCGCTCGCCTTCATCAGCTTCGGCAGCCTGGTGGCGCCGCCCTTCGGCGGCATCCTCTACGAGTTCGCGGGCAAGCGGGTGCCCTTCCTGGTGCTGGCCGCCGTCTCGTTGCTCGACGCGCTGCTGCTCCTGGCCGTGGCCAAGCCCTTCTCGGCGGCTGCGCGGGCGCGCGCCAACCTGCCGGTGGGCACACCTATCCACCGCCTCATGCTGGACCCTTACATCGCCGTGGTGGCCGGGGCGCTCACCACCTGCAACATCCCCCTCGCCTTCCTGGAGCCCACCATCGCCACATGGATGCAGCATACCATGGCCGCGTCCGAGTGGCAGATGGGCCTGGTCTGGCTGCCGGCCTTCGTGCCGCACGTGCTCGGCGTCTACCTCACCGTGCGCCTGGCGGCGCGCTACCCGCACCTGCAGTGGCTCTACGGGGCGCTCGGGCTGGCGGTGATCGGCGCCAGCTCCTGCCTCGTGCCCGTCTGCGTCTCCTTCGCGCCGCTGGTGGTCTCGCTCTGCGGCCTCTGCTTTGGCATCGCGCTGGTGGATACGGCGCTGCTGCCCACGCTCGCCTTCCTCGTGGACGTGCGCCACGTCTCCGTCTACGGCAGCGTCTACGCCATCGCCGACATCTCCTACTCCGTGGCCTACGCGCTCGGGCCCATTGTGGCGGGCCACATCGTACACTCGCTGGGCTTCGAGCAGCTCAGCCTGGGCATGGGCCTGGCCAACCTGCTCTATGCGCCGGTGCTGCTGCTGCTGCGCAACGTAGGCCTCCTGACGCGCTCGCGCTCCGAGCGCGACGTGTTGCTGGACGAGCCGCCACAGGGCCTCTACGACGCCGTGCGCCTGCGGGAGCGCTCTGCACCCGACCCGGACGGCGAGCTAGGCGGCCCGCCCGACCCTTCGGACGCGTGCGAGGACGACTACGACTACTACTACACTCGCAGCTAGCCGTCTCCGCTCCTGCTTCGGGCCGCCCCGCCCCCACCCTCGGGGTTAGGGCAGGTGGAGGGGGAGGAGGGGAGTGGGCAGAGGAAGGGGAGGGAGAGCAATTGCCCCGGGAGCGCACTGGCCAGCTCAAACTCAGGGCCCGCCTCCTGTAACCAGGACCCCCGCCTCACCCGCTCTGCCGCGCCCCTGCCAGAACCTCCTCCTAGTGACCCGTTCAGTGGCCCCTCTCCTTGGTCCGACAGGGCGTGGGGCACCGAGGCAGGGGAACGTCAGCGGCTGCGCTCCAGGCCGAGGGGGCGGGAGGAGACCTGCGGGCCGCCACCTCGGGCCCCTACCCCCTCACCGTTCGCCGTGTAAAGAGCGCGGTACGTCTGTCTCTCCCTCACTCTTCTCCCTGTGCCAAACACAGCCTGCGCTGCGCCGCCGGTGCCTCTGGTCCGAATTAATAAACCTTATCTGTCTGAAGAGCTCGAGTCTCTTTACTGGTGGGGTGGGCACCTGAACACAGGGCCCCATCTCCTCGGACAGAGTGGTAAGTGAGTCGGCCTCACCAAGCCTCCCCATTCCCGACCCTGAACGCGTGGGAAGCCTGTAGCTCCTTTGCAACCAGGACAAGGACTCCTATTGGCCGTCACCCCTCCAGAACCCGCGCTCCGCTCAGCTGGAAACCGGGCCTCTGTGGGCTGGCGCCCAGTACAGCGCCCTAAGGGGTGACGCCTGGGGGTGCCCAGGACCTGCCGGGGCTGGGAGCGCCGGGCCCCGCCCTCGGAGGGCACGCCCCGTGCCGGCCACCAAGGCTTCCCTTCCCACCTGTATCTCGCCCCGTCCGGTCGGCCTTCAAGGAGGCAACCGGAGGCCAAGCCATTGCGGGTAAAGGAAAAAGAAACACACCAGCCGGGCTTTGCGGCCCGCAAAACGGCATCCGCGGTGTGTTTGTGTGCGCGCGCGAGCGTTGGAGAACCGGGCGCTTCCCCAGGAAGTGGGGAGGCCACAGGTGGCCGCTGCGCTTCCTCGCAGCAGGTCCGGGTGCTGAAGGGAGAGGACCGGAGTGTGCGAGCTGGGGCCAGCCACCGCGGCCCATCCCGAATGGAAGCAGCTACCCGGGGTTGTTAGAAGTTTTCCAGCCCGTTCTAGGGAGTTCCGGTCCTGGGAGCTCCAGGCTGGCGCTGAGGGCATCTCCCTCCACCACTACCACCAAGGTCCAGAATCCATGGAGCGGTCTTTGGGGGGGGGGGGCGGCGCCTGTGCCAGCATTGCCAAAGTAAGCGTGTCTGCCCTGGTGTGTGTGTGTGTGTGTGTGTGTGTGTGTGTGTGTGTGTGTGTGTGTGTGTGATTCCCCCTCTGTGTGTGCATCTGAGTGAGGCCTGTCCTTGTGGGTACTTCTTTGGGGGCTTTCTATTTAGGAGGCCAGGTCTGTCTTTCCCCTGGGTCGGGTTTCCAAGCACTCCCCCCCCATCTGTCCTCAGGAGAGACCCTTCCATCTTCACCTCCCATCCCCCAGCGCCAGCTTGGATGGGACTGTGACAAAGAGGGACAGAGACCCTGGAGTAATCACCAAGCAGGCCTTATATTTTTTTATTATTAGTATTAATATTATAAGATGGTACAGGAGAGTGTGGGTCTGGCCTGCTCAGACTGCCTCTGACCCAATCCTCCCCAGGACTGCTGCGTGAGCAAACGCTGGCTGGCGGGCGGGCGGGCATCTTGGTGCTGGGGGAGCGCGGGCGTGGGACGGGCTGGGCAGGGGGCAGCGGGCTGGGGTGGAGCCGCGTTCCCGGTGCCCTTCTCAGGATTGTGCTACCCCTGCGCGAGCTGCTCCGGGAAGCCGTCCGGACAGGTTCCGGGGACCGGGCGGTGGGAGGGGGTGGGGGGACAGAAGACAGAGAGCGGAAGGGAGCCGGGGAGGGTTCGGGAAGGAGGAGGGACGCTAGCAAAGAGGGGAGGCGCGTCGGGCTCACCAGCAGACAGTCTGGCGGCCGCGGGGACCCGGCGACGTCGGAGGCTCCAGCGGGGACCCAGGCGGCGGCCCCGGTCCGCGCAACCGACGCGCCCCTCCCACCCCGCCCATACTTACTGGCGACACCGGCCCCCGCCACCCCCACCCTACGTCCGCAGTCCTGTTTGGTGCTGTGCAGCGGCGACCAAGGCGGTGGTGCCCGGGAGAGCAGGTGAGAAGGGCCGGGCGTGCAGGCGGGGCACGGAGCTCCGGGAACGGAGGACCGCGGGTGGACACGCTGTGCCGTCATCGCAGCCCTGGCTTCAGAGGCCCTGGGACTCGCCTGGTCCTCCGAGTCCGGTACCGCGGTGACCGTCGGGGGAGGTGAGGGGGAGAGGAACGGCTAGGAGGCTGCGGAATGGTGCTGCCCGGGAGCTTGGACTTGGAGAGTGCTTGGAGCCTCTGGGTTGCTGCGCCTCTGAGCTTCCCGTGGCCGGCCAGGCACCACCGGCTGAGGGCTGAGGTCTGTGCTAGCCGCGCACAGGAGGAGGGTCCGCGGCCCCTGGAGGTGATGCTGCGCGTGCGCCTGCCGACTCAGCTGTTCGCGCAGAGGGAGTGGGCGGTGGGGCGCGGCCAGGTGATGCCCGATCAGACTGGACTGGGCATTGGGGGCTCTGTTCTGGAGACCCGTACCCCAGGCAGTCTATAGGAGGCCAGGAGGGCGGCTGCTTGGATTACACGCACAAGACAGACAAACGTCAAGGAGGACAGGGAACTGGCAGGGCAGAACCACCGCAAACTATCATACTAGGGTCAGCCTGGAAACCTGAGTTTGCGGGAGGTGGGGTGGGGGGACGGCAGGAGACTGGGCAGCCAGAAGAGACACTGGCCTGACTTTGTCCAGGTGCCCTCTCCTAGGGGCTGCTGGGCTCAGCTGGGCTCAGCTGTAGTCCTGGGCAACCCCTGATGCACCTGCTCAGGTTCTGTGATGGGGAGTTGTGTCCCAGGGACACGACTCGAGAGTGAATTGAGGGGTTTTGAGTACTTGGCACCTTGAGATCCATTACTGGAGGTCAGAAAGATAAGAGCAGGTGATACCTTGCATTGTAATCTGGGAAAGGGGAAGGGTGTGAAGCTGTTTAAGTTCCGGGGCTCTTCATGGGGAATATGGACACGCCCAGCCTGCTAGGCAGGGAGATGCTGCTAAGTTCTTTCCACCTGCAGAACTGAGACATCTGGCTAGGAGGTACAGAAATAGGAAAGTGTGTCACGGGCCAAAGTCAGACCTGTTAGTAGCACCAACCGACTGGGATCACCCTGTCCCTGCCTGCCAGGATTTTACCACCTCTGCCCCGTGCCACAGACACGCACTGCCTCCTGCCCTGGCTGTGCTTCTCCTCCTTTGCCCCCTGCACTAGGCAGAACTGCTGTTGGTGGTATGAGAGGCTAAACACGAGGAGCTGTGGGTTCTTGGCGGGGGGAATGGTGGGTGCGTTTGGTGGAAGTCGTGCAGGTGTGCCTCTGCAGGCTGAGGTTTGGGGCACCTCAGGATGCTCCCCACCACCTTCAAAACCGGCCTTGAGCAGTGGGCATTTAGGCAGTTAGGATGCCAGGTAGGGACACCCGTGTCTCAGAGCACCTGAATTCAAGTCCCAGCTCTGCTGCTGATCCCACTAATGGGCACCTGGGATCAGCAGCAATGGCTCAAGCCGTTAGGTTCTGGACACTCCTGCAGCAAGAGACGTGGATTGAGTGGGTCCCTGTTTCAGACATTGGGGATGTGTGGGGAAGGAATTGGCAGGTGGAAGTTTTCCTGTGTGTGTGTCCCCCTCTTTTAATAACAAAGACAAGAGAAAAACTGGTCTTACTCTTCTTGGTCTGTACTTTCCAAACCTGCTTTTATTGCTTCTATCCAGGCTCCTAGGAGCCCAGGCTCCCAGCCCCTTGTACCACCTCCCTCTGGTCTGGGAGCCACCAGACCAGAAACCAGCTAATTCACAGCTCATCCAGCAAACCCTGGAGGCCGCCCCCACCTCACTGTGCCCAGAGCACCTGCTCGAGCAGAGAGCCTTCAAGGGCATTGGACCCATTCAATACACGCATCCATTCATGCACCACGTGTCCCTCCTCTTCAGCTAGCTAGCCATCATCTACCCGCGGCATGCCAGCCCCAGAGATCACGCACTGGTCTGGATTCGACTCAGCCCAGTGCCAAGCAGTTGTGTCCCAGGCATGAACAAAGCGAGAGGATTGCAGGTGGCCCCTCCTACATTTGGAGGGGAGGCAAGCCCAGCCCTGCTCATCCCTTCGCTGCTGCCCTGGGGTCATGTTCCAGGTGGAGGCTCCCTCCAAACCCTCTCCTCTATGGGGGCTCAGAGAGAATAGTCATGCTCGAGGGGGCCAGGTCTGGGGTGTGCAGGGGGGGTGGAGGTGGGCACTGAGATAAGATCCAGGCTTGAGAGTGAGACCTCAATATGCTACAAGTGGTCTCTAGCCTCCTCGTGGGGCTGGGGTGGGGATCCTGTTGTGGGAAAGGAGAGTTTGTGGCAGACCACTGTGATTCACGCCTTGATGCCCTCACTTCTCTCTTCCCAGGTCTCCCCTTTGCTTGCCCAGCCCAGGAGTCCCCAAGATGCCCATCCTGGACAAAGTGTCCCAGAAGGTGGCTACGAAAATGGCCAGCAGTGAGGAGGAGCCTGTGAGTGATGCTCGGAGTCCTTCCCCCCCCCCCACCCCCTTCTAGGCCCTGCCTGGAGCCCAGAAGGCCTGGGAGCTGGGTGGGAGTGGCCTCAGGGCAAGCAGCGGCTTGCTACAATCAGACTTCCTAATCCCTGAGTCCGGACCCGGAATCACCTGTCCTCCTAGAAAAGCCTCATCCCACCCCAGTGGAGCTGTCTGTGGGAGAGGCTGCATGCCCTTCTCGCAGCCCCAGCTGCTGTTGCCACTAGCTCAGCCCAGGAGCCCTGGCCACCACCTGCTTCACTGGCCTGAGCCATACCCCCTCCCACCCGGCCTTTGTTGTTGCCCCTGTTGGCTTTTCCCCCCTCCCCCCCCCCCCAGCCTTGGTCTGGTCCCATCGGAATTTTCTTTGATGGCTCTGATCAGAACTTTCTGGTTTCTCCCCTTCGAGGCTGCCAATGACAGTGCCCCAACATATGCAGCTCATCCAAGTCTGTACTGTTGTCTGCGGCTCATGGCGTACTCCCTGCCCCAGCTGAACTGCAGTGGAAATTGTGTCCAGCCCAAACTGGCCAAGAAAGCCTGTATCTATAGGCTCCAGAGTCCAGAAGGGCCTGAGAAGGAGCCCAGCGAGGCTCAGATGCTCATGCTCGGCTTTCCTGTTTCATCTCCGAGTCCCACCCACCCACTGCGCTGACGCCAAAGCCCAGAGCAGCACGGTCACTACTCCTGGCCGAGCTCCAGCCTCACGCACAAGCAGGCCCTCTTGGCCAGATCACCAGCTGGGCTGGGCTTTCTGCTCTTCTTTCCTCCTCCTCTCCCCATTCTCCCCGCTCTCCCCCTGCAACCTATACCCGAGACCACAAGAGCAAGAGAAACAGAAGTGACTGTGATGGGGATGGGCAGCCCTGAGGTGCTGCCCAGACCTGTGCTGGCATTGCTCCCTGGGGCAGGAGCAACCTCTAGCAGGCACCGACACCCCACCCTCTGCCAGAGCAGTGAGCGCCAGAAACAGGATCAGACAGGTGGATGGCTGTCACCTACTCCGTCAACGCACATTCATGTCATCAGCCTCTCCCTGGGCAGGACAGGGCGAAGCAGAGCGGGGGCGGGTGGGGGGCACAACCCTGCAGGACCCTTCAGTCCACAGCACACCAGGGCAGGGAGGGGCATCAGAGAAGAAACCCTTCCCTTCACCCTTGCCCCCTGGAAGGTGGCCTGCTAGCCATCAACCTAAGCAATACTGTTAAAAATGCTGCTTGCCTGAAACCAGCAGCTGAGAGAGGGAGAAGAGAAGGGACGGGGCAGAGAGAGTGACAGCTGAAGAGGAGCAGGGCAAGGGGTCTGAGTCCTCCATCTGCCACCTGACTTTTTAGATGGCCTTCCATGGCTTTGCATGTCCTCACCTGTGAATGGACCAGCATTTCCTGCCCTGGCTGAGTCACAAAGGCGAAGAGTCACCTGAGACCCTAGGTGATTCCGCTAAGCTAGAGGAAGAGGGGGGTGTCCTCTCTCCCAGGCAGACAGTAGAGGTGAGGTGGGGCAGTGGAGAGGTCCTGTCCGGATTCCGGCTACACGTGGGGGTCCGGAAGATGGCAGGTTTCCTGGGACAACAGTGTCACCCCCGATGCTTCCTTTTGTAAAGTGGTCGCTAACATGGGATAGGTATACCTTGTAATGGGGTACATGTGTGCAGCATAAACTGAGCAAATTGGGCAGTGGTCTTTCCATTTTGTCTCTTTGCATTTGGGGTCTTTGGGGTGCTCCCTCTGACTCTTCATGTGTTCCATAAACATATTTGTCTACATATCATGTGACTTACTGTTACTACTCCAGCCTGACTCTGCTTTGGCACCTGTCACTCAGCCTCCCTTTATCTGCATCCTTTCCAATCTCCAGTAATCGCTGTTGTAAGTTCAGGGGGAGGAAGTCCCCATATGTGAGACAGGGAAGGTGTCACGTTAGTCCGGCGTCCTCTCCTCGCTCTAGCCGGCTCCATCCACTTTGCTGCTGATGTCAGGGTTTCATTCTTTTTGTGAAGGCTGCAGTCTAATCCACAGTGCCCATATGTCACCTTTGCCGTGCCCACTTGTCCTTCCGTGAACACCTGAGCTGGCTCCGTATCTCGGCTGCTGCCGCAGGCCACACATCTGTGTGATGTGTTGATTGTGTTTGCTCTGGATCTCTCCCTCGGCCTGGGTGGGCAGGGTGAGCTGATAGACCCGACTTTTTGTTTTCAGTTCCGGGATGGCTGGACTGATTTGCATTCCCACTGGCAACAGTGACAAGTTTCCTTCCCTCCTCGCCCTATACCTTCATTACCTTCTGGCTCTTCATCCCTCACCCTCCACAGGGCTGCTTAGCATTCACATTTCCCCATGGCCAGCAGCAGGGAGCATCTTTACACATGCATGTTGGCCATTTCTATTTCTTCCTTCTAGAACGGTCTCTTAGACTCCTTTGCCTGTCTCTCCCCCCACCCCCTTCAAGGCTTGTTTTTATTTGAAAGGTAGATTTACAGAGAGTAGGAGATGTGCTTGCTTCGGCAGCACATAGAGCAGGAGAGGTAGGGAGAATCCTTCCTCTGATGGTTCACTCCACAACAGCTGGAGCTTAGCTGCTCTAATCCAAAACAGGGGCCAGGAGCTCCCGGCGGGTCCACCACATGGCCGCAGGAGCCCAAGGACTTGAGCCATCCTCCACCATTTTTCTAGGTCATAAGCGGGGCACTGGGTGAGAATGGAGCAGCTGAGACATGAACCAGCGCCCATATAGGATGCTTATGCTGCAGGTAGAGGGTTAGCTGGCTCTGCCCTGTGCCCGTTTCTTAAGAGATCTGTTTGGCTTTTGTTGAGTTTCTGGCTAGGAATCGTTTGTCAGATGAATGGTTGCAAATATTTTCTCCCATGTCCTAAGGTTTTATAATGCATCTAACTGGGGCCAATTGCTTCTCCCACTTAGTTCTCTCTGTATCCCTCTAGCTAGGAGTTGTTATTTATAGGCCACCAATGAGGAACTAGCCTTGGAGAAGTTCAGCGGTAAAAACTTCCCCTGCACCTCCACCACCCCAGCCCCAGTCCCCACATGAAACACCATCCTTTTGCCTGCTTTCCCACCTGGGAAGAATTTCCCAGCTAGCTCAGGGCGGGTGCAATGGTCCCAGGAAATGTCCTGTGGGATTCCGGTCATTACGGCAGCACTGAGCCATGGTTCCCAGCCCATATCTTCTCTTCCTCCAGGCCTCCCTGGGAAATTAGTTAGTCCCTTTCAGATCAATTGGATCCTAGATGCCCAGCTGGGAACCGTTGGAAATGAAGAATGGTTGGCAGAGAGCAGCATCGGTGGCAGGCAGAACTGCTGCATCTTAGAGCCACCCTATATGGTTGATCACTTAAGCACCTTCACCTCCCTTAGCTCTGTGCTCCTCTGAGGCCATCACCTCCACTTTGCAGGAGGAGAGACCGAGGCAAACAGGGCGGGCATACCTTGTTCAAGGTCACGCAGCTGGACCGGAGCATGACCCCAGAGCTTTTGGAAGGCAACAGTAGGGTCTTTGTGGTTGTGCTTCCCTGGGGTGGCCAGGTCCAGGTAGGGGTGGAGGGGGTTGAGGGGAGAGGGACAGGACAGAGGCAGCAAGCATTTCCTAAATGCACCATCCAGTTGAGCAGAGCCTTAGAAACTGGCCTCAGGATAGGGAAGCAGAATGGAGGACATGGGTGGGACACATGCACGGAGGGGCACAGCCAGTGCCTGGGAACCCTGTCTTCCAGGAGCTGCCCAAGCTGCCAGTGCCCCCTCTGCAGCAGACACTGGCTACCTACCTGAAGTGCATGCAGCACCTGGTGCCCCAGGAGCAGTTCCAGAAGAGCCAGGCCATCGTACAGCGGTTCGGGGCCCCTGGTGGCCTGGGCGAGACCCTGCAGCAAAAACTCCTGGAGCGGCAGCAGAAGACAGACAACTGGGTACGGGCTAATGATAGTGGGGGAAGAGGGGGAGACTTGGTGGAAGGGGGGCTGCACAGGGACCCATATGCGGGGCAAGAGGCAGATAGAGGGAGGGATTTGGGTGAAGGGCAGGGGCCAGGAGTTGAGCATCAAATCCCACAGGACGGGAACTTTGGTGTGGAAGAACAGGTGCGAGGAGACAGGGCTTAGCAGGTGTGTGCTGAAGGAATAAATGCAAGCATGGATGAATGAATGATCCAGCACTTTCCAGATGGTATCGCACCCAGTCCTGGAACTGCCAGTGGATGCTACGGCAAAGTCCAACCAACCTGCACTTGACTGAACTCGTGCATGTGCTACTGGATGCGGTAGCCCAGCCTAGCTCTCCTGCAAACCTAGCTCATATATAGGCTGACAGGTGTCTCGATTGTCCCTCGGAGTGACCAGGATGGGACTGTGTACTACCACAGGTCGAATGCACCTGCTTGGGTGGGTGAGTGGGGGTGATGAGATAAAAGTGCCCCCTCCTGACCTCCTTGCAGGTGTCTGAGTACTGGCTTCATGACATGTATCTCAACAACCGCCTGGCTCTGCCTGTCAACTCCAGCCCAGCTGTCATCTTTGCCCGGCAGCACTTCTACGACACCAATGACCAGCTCAGGTGCGGCCACAGCTTGGGGACCTGCCCAGGTAGGGCATGGGGTCCAAGCACCCACAGGGGTGTGCTTCCTGGGGTTCCAGTGCCCCAAGGGACAGCTGCCAGCCAGGTTTAACTGTAGGTGCCCTTGAGGCCTCCTAGGAAGATGCTCCTTGGGGGCAGGGGCATGGCCACTCATGGAGGTCCCCATGGCAGTGCCGACCTGGCTGAGGCCCCTGGCGGCTGGGACACACGTTCCAGGACTGTTCGAGCGGCGGCGGCTGCCCTCCAGAGCCTTCTTCTAAACAGTCTCCGGTGGGGCTGGAAATGGTCCCTGCCTGGCAGGCGTGGCCGCCAGCAGAGCCTCTGCCATCTGCTGCAATTTCAGAGCTCACTGAGCCGCTGGAAGGGCCTCCAGCAGGCTGACGCCACCGGCGACCATGGCTGTGACAGGCAAGGCTGGCGAAGGACCGTCTCCCTGCCCTCGGGGACTCTAACGTGCTCTCTGTGGCTTAGGACTAAATGGGGCAGCTTGCAAGGAGGTGTCAGAGGGAGCAGGGCAGGCAGGTCCTGGGGGCTTAAGGAAACAACAAACCCCTACCTATTCAACCTCATGGGGCAGGACTCAACCATGCTAGTGAGACCCCCCAACACATACACACTCTATCACAGCCACCCCCAATCTCAACGCCAGCCTGCTGAGCTGCTGCCAGCTGGGGGGGAGCGTGGACAGGCAAATAATATCTGCCAATCAGCCCTCTAAATGCATCCAAGGAGGCATTTTCTTTGCTGTGTAATTAGGCCAGGCATCATCATCCACGGGTGGTTAAACCAACGCCTAGGTCCCTGGCACTGCTGCCTGTTCCCCTCACTCACCTACCTCCTGCCCCACCCACCCCACCCCAGCACTGGCTTCACTCTTCATCACCACCAAGGGCATCCAGTGACTGGCTTCTCCGGGGGGCGGGGGGGGGGGGGAGACTAGCACTCCAGGGCATCCTAGCCCCATGGTCTTAACTTCCCAGGAAGAAGTCAGCAGCCAGGCCTGTGGTAGCTGCTCCATGCCCTCCCCTGGCAGCCGGCTCACCCTCTAGGTGGTTCTAATCTTCCCTTCTTGTTCCTGGAGAGCACCTATTCCCGTGTTGTTTTGTTTTGTTTTAAACCACAGGCTTGTGTTGGATTCTGACTTGAGGGTGAGATAACAGGTGCCACATGGGATTGAGGCATTGAGGCATTCCTGGGCGTGTGGTGGTGGCAGCTGGGGAGAGGGGCAGCTAGGAAGGAAGGAAGAAGGGAGGAAGACAGGACACTGGGCGTGGGGGGCGGGCAGGGCTCAGCCTCCTCTCTCTCTGCAGGTTCGCAGCCAGCCTCATCTCTGGGGTGCTCAGTTACAAGGCCCTGCTGGACAGGTAGGACGGGCCCCCGACTGGGTTCAGGGAGTGAGGGAATGTTGTGCTCCAGCATGGTCAGCGAACGCGTCTCTCCTTTCCTGCTACACCGGAACAGAGAGAACTCTGGGAGTGGGGAACCTTGCCTTTTGCCAGCTCTGGCTGCCTTGGTCTCTGCAAACCCTCTCACTCCCTGTAAACCTCATGTGCTCCCAGGCAGAGTGGATTCCTTTGTTGGGAGTTCAGAGGCCATGGGGAAAAGGGGTGGGGTCAGCTCTGTCCCTCGGGGATCTCCCACGCTCAGTAACCAGGGGTGCCCTGAGCGATGGAGAGAGCTGCACAAACGCAGTGGGGCAGCATGGATTTTCAGGAGGAATGGACAGATAGTGGATGGGGGAGAGATGGATGGATGTGGGTGGTGAGTGGGTAGGTAATGGATCAGAGTAGATGGATGGATGGTGTATGGATGAATGAATGAGTGGAAGAGTAATGGTTGGGTGGATGAGTGGATGGGTGAATGAATGGGTTGGGTCCATGGATGGTGAGTAGATGGATGGAACGTGGGTGTGTGAAGAGGTAAGTGGAGAGGTGGATAGATGAAGAGATGGGTGGGAGGGCAGGTGAGAGTGGATAGTAGTGAATGAATGGGTGGATGGATAGATGGGATGGGTGAGTGAACAGGAAGCAGAGAGGTTGGAAGAATAGGCACACAACATGCTGACACCACAGTGCAAAGAGCTGCCTTGAACTTGACCACAGTGCACATTGCTGCCTTGAACTTGAGACTTTTAGAAGTGATATAGCAAGAAAAGAGTTTTCTAAACAGAACAGAGTGTAGGGGTGGGGTGCAGAGCACAAGTGGAGGCCAAGTAACCATGACACCTGGGAAAAATGGTGAGATCCAATGCCACACAGGTGTGAAGTGGATTGGCAGAGATGTGAACCAATGCTAGGACTCTCCACAGGCTGTGGAAGACCTGAATTCTGTAATTGACACCATGGGGGCAGTTCTAGGTATGTGCCTCAGTTTACCTGACCAAGTCCCAATCAACAGAACCAGTTCCAACGGCCTCTCTGCATGGCCACCCGCTTTCCTCCACTGTCACCTGCAGCCACTCCATCCCCACGGACTGTGCCAAGGGCCAGTTGTCTGGACAGCCCCTCTGTATGAAGCAGTACTACGGGCTCTTCTCTTCCTATCGGCTCCCCGGCCACACCCAGGATACCCTGGTGGCCCAGAAGAGCAGTGTCATGCCAGAACCCGAGCATGTCATCGTGGCCTGCCGTGATCAGGTAAGCCTCCCTTGTCACTACTGCCGTCTCTGGTCTCCAGGAGTGAGAGATGTGTCCCTGCTTACCTCAAGGAGCTCAGCCCACACTCCTAAGGTACACTGGCAGCTGGGGCAGTGTGGCCCCAATGTGGCGTCAGCTACTCCCGGGAGGTGCCATGTGCTCCTGTCAGTGAACTTTAAAAACAAGGAGAATCAGCAGTTAGTTAGAATGTGCTGCCTTGGGCCCAGTCCTAGCTGCCGAGCTCCTTGCAATGCACGTACTGTGCCCCCTCTTCCCAGGGACCCTGCACCGGCCCATCCATTTGCTTGCCTGCAGTGTCCCTGGCGGTGACATCCTTGGAGACCACACAGAGAGATGACCAGAGTGCCAGCCAGGCACATGTATGTGCCAGACCTTGCTTACCTTGACCCTGACTCTACCTGGGTGGGGGGAGGGGGTCAGCTCCTCCATTTGACAGATGAGGAAGTGGGGTGCTAAGTGGTCTGTCTGGAAGTGGGAAGGACTCCCAGGTCTGGCTTGTGCCCAAGGCCCCCTTTGTGCCCAGCATGTAACTCAGGGCTTTTTACCTGGTGCCCCAGAGCTAGTATGAGCTCCCAAGGCTTGAGGGACAAGGTGAGTACAAGGGTTCCTGAATACTCTTACCCACAGAGATGTCCTCACAAAGGCTGCATGCTGACCAAAAGAGCATGGGTTTTGTTTTGGTTTTTGTGCTGCTTGGTTCTTCCGGTTTTGTTTTGTTTTTCGGGTGGAAGGCCATGTTTCCTGCTGTCTGTGCAACTCTTCCAGCAGAGTTCCTCCCCCCACCGAGGCTTGTCTGATAGTTGAATTCATCCTGGGGCTCAGTCAGGATCTCCCTGCTGGGAGTGTCTGGGTTCCACGCTCACAACCCTCCCCCCGCCAACAGCCCACCTGTCTCTGGCTAGCTATGAGGAGAAAACACAGAACTTTCTGGGTTTTCGTTCCAAGGACAAACCCGCCCCTCCTAACCCCAGTCTTGAAGTCATAGAATGACAACATCCCATGGGTCTCCACACGTGTGCGCGCACGTGGACACAGAGATCCTTGTCGCAGCCGCCTGCCCACCTTCATCAGTCCCTAGTTGGTGACTGGCTTGTTCCCCTCCAGCTCCCAGTGCGTTTGAGTGTTTGAGATCCATCCCTAGGTAGCTGGAGCGCTCTGGTTCCTTCTGACACGTGTGTCCACCCTACAAGGACACTAGGCTTTGGCCATCCCCCTTCTGAGATTGGTGAGGCTCCTCCCCTGGTTGGCCTGCTGCCCACACCCTCACCCACTCTGCGGTGCGCATATGCATGCTACTTTGAGCCGTGGGCCAAACCATGCATTTGTAAAAGCTGTTGCTGAATCACAGACCTTCCCCAGCTAGTTTTTGCTTTTTAAGATTGATTTGTTTTTATTGGAAAGTCAAATTTACAGAGAGAAGGAGAGACGGAGGAAGATCTTCTGTCTGCTAGTTCACTCCCCAAGGGGCCTCAACGGCTGAAACTGAGCCGATCTGATGCCAGGAGCTTCTTGCAGGTCTCCTACATGGGTGCGGGGTCTCAAGGCTTTGGGCTATTCCTGCGGGGTCTCAAGGCTTTGGGCTGTCCTTGACTGCTTTCCCAGGCCGCAAAAGCAGGGAGCTGGATGGCAAATGGAGCAGCTGGAATTAGAACCAGCACCCATATGCGATCCTGGCACGTGCAAGGCGAGGACTTTAGCTGCTAAGCTACCATGCTGGGCCCTTCCTCAGCTAGTTTTGATCAGCCCAATCTCCCCAGCCCTCTCGACCCCAACAAATGGCATAGCTTGTTGGGCATGGGGAAAGCAGGAACCACCCAAGCAAGCATTTGGCTGCATTTGACATAGCCCTTATGGCTGTCATCAGCATTGTGTTGGTGACCCCAGCGGGGATGACCCAGAGTCGAGCCCCTTCCCCACACTGCCCCACCCCAGGAGCATCCCCTGGTCCTGCCCACCGGCGAGTGACGCATCCGACCTGTCTGTCCCACAGTTCTTCGTCTTGGATGTTGTCATAAATTTCCGCCGTCTCAGTGAGGGGGATCTGTTCACTCAGTTGAGAAAGATAGTCAAGCTGGCTTCCGGCGAGGACCAGCGCCTGCCTCCCATCGGCCTGCTGACGACAGACGGGAGGAGCGAGTGGGCCGCAGCCAGGACAGCCCTCGTGAAAGGTCAGCGGCTGGACCCAGTGCTCCATGCTCATCTCATGCCCGCCGGGGGCCGGGCGCCATGACTCCATTCCCATGGGCCATAATGCGGGGAGCACAAGTGCTAGGACCAGATGACGAGGTACCTGTGAGCTGACCGCCGCTCTTGTCTCTCGTTGTTCCACTGCTGGTATCCTAGCTTTTTCTGGGTGAGACTGGCTAGCGCTGAGTAGACTTGGGGTGCAGCGACTTGGAGGGGAGGAGTGGACTGCAGCTGAGCAGAGGTGTCTCACAGGTTGTCTGGGTCACTGGAGAACAGCCAGGTGCATCCCCAGGAGGGTGGCTGGTCATGTCTGTTACTTGATCACTTTTTTTTCAAGCTGTCCCTGTAGTTAGGAATGTCACTGTGTATTCCCTTAGCAAAGGCACGGATCTTTTCAACGGGGAATGTATGTATCACTGGCAGCAGCTCAAATGGCTGTGCCACAACACCAGGCTCCAAACCGGGATTTTGAAAGGCTTGGGTGGAAGACGTAAGAATGGGGCAAAGTCCTGTGCCATGAGCGGGTGGGACAACCTGGAAGATTGGAGGGTGGTGTCTAGGCAGGGGGACTGACCGGATAAAGCTGGGGTCACTCAGCCGGGATACAGCTCCCCTGTCTCAGGGACCCAGGGTTCTAGAAGGAGCTGCTGGCTCCTTGCGCTGAGCAGAGTTCAGCCCAGCTGCCTCAACCTCAGGCATCCAAGAGCTGCCTCCTGCAGACTGTCTCGGTGGCCGGTTGGCTTGTCTTGCTTGGTGTGGCTCATCTCTTGGCTGGATGTCTCCCTCCACCCATTTCCAGTGCCCGGAAGGCTGGGTGTCTCCTCTGTATGGCTGAATCTCTGTGCTGTGCCATTGTAGTGGAAGGCCAGTTAGGTTTGTTAAATGAAAGAATTAAAGGGTAACTCACAACACATGGTCCCGGCTTTGCTTCCTGCTTACTTGTTAATTATTCTGTCGTCTAATTATTGGGCACCTGCTGGATGCTTGGTCCTAAACAGAAGGTTGTGAGGGGACCACAGGGAGTGATGAGAGCTGACTACTCCAGCGAACTTGACCGCCACAATGGGACATTAATAACTCACCATTAGAAAGAGAGTCAGCTTACTCCATCCCCCCGGAGATCGTGGAGAAATCAGACCCTCAGGGGGGAAGAGACAGGCGTCAAAATAATCGCCTCTGCTTCCAGCTTGGTCTCCACTTTATTAGCCGGCCAGGGCCCAGTGACTCCCACCAGGACTGACCAGGATTGCCTGAAGGTCTAAACGCTTGGGCTGCGCTAATCGGAATTAATTTGCTAATGGCGCTTGATCTGGCTTTCTGAATGGAAGCGCCACACAAAGGCGGGTGCCATGCACCTGCCGGTGAGCAATCACATTAATCCAATTAACGCTGAGTGCCTGTGTCGCCTGCTGGCTGGCACCCATCCTTTCCAGATGCCTTCCTCACTGGAGTAGCCCTTATCATGGAGGGGGAGCACTTAGGGAGCAATTTCGGGACAGCCAGAGACAGTGACAGTGTGAAAGGTGGTTAAGCGTGAAGGCTGGGTAACGGGATGTATCTAGCTGGATCGCAAGCACTCAGGAAAGCAGAGAGGTGAGGGAGAGGCTTGGGTTGTTTTCTGCATGAGCCTGTGGGTGCACAGCAGTCCCCTTGGCAGGGTGGGTGCGGGATGGAGTCATGAGAATGGAGCTGTCAGGCTAGATGTATGTGTCTGCTTCTGGAAGGAGAGGTCAGAACAGCGATATAAATTTGAGAGCCATCAGCACCTAAATGACATTAAAAGGCACAGGCCTGAATGAGATCATCAAGATACAGAAGGACAGGGCGGGCCGTAAGGATCAGGGGAGAAAGTCTAGCAGCTTGGGTGGGGGGCGGGGGGGGGGAAGCACAGAAGGAAGACCACCAGGAGACACCCCCAGCCCCCCAAGATTCTGAGAGGAAGCAGCGATCAGCCAGCTGTGTGCCATGCCGCTGAGAGCTTGCGAGGAGGAGACGTGGAAACTGGCAACCTTAACATTGTCGGTGAGCTTGGCAAGGGCCAGGCTGGAGCCATAGGCAGAGCGATGACTGGATGCTGATGGAGATGGGCCAGCATCTCATGGCATAGTTAGTGAGTGGAACCTGCAAGTATAGATGAGTCTCTCTCTCTCTCTTTTTTTTTTAATATTTATTTATATGTTTGAAAGGCAGAATGACAGAGAGGTAGATACACACAGGGGGTAGGGGAAAAGAGAGCAAGAAAAAAAGAGAGATCTTCCATCCATCATCTCACTCCCCCCAGTGGCCTCTATCGGGCTGAGTCAAGCTGAAGTCAGGAGCCTGGGACTCCTTGTACATCTCCCATGTGGGTGCAGGGGCCCCAACGCTTAGCCCATACTCTGCTGCTTTCCCAGGTGCATTAGCAGGGAGTGGTATCAGAAGTGGAGTAGTCAGGGACTCCAGCCAGTGCCCTGAGGTGGCTGCAGGCATTACAAAGGGGAAGCTAAACCCACTGCACAACAATGCCAGCCCCTCACCGTCTCTTTGCAAATACAGTAGTTTTAAAAGAAGCAGAAACACAGAGGAGTTACCAGGCAAGCCAAGGTTCAGCAGACATGTTCTGAATAGAATCAGGAGAGGCAAGGGTGTGGTTGTGGGTGCCCAAGTGTATGTGGAAGGAGTCTGGCAAGTGGAATGACAGGAGAAAGCAGAAAAGTGGGGGTTGGGATTCTTGCACGGGCCGGTAGGAGGGCAAAGCCTCAGAAGCAGAGAACCTAAACTGGTCCAGGGAAAACAGCATGACAGGCTGGGTAAGGAGAAGTGTTGGTGGGCTCAGCCTCTGTAACACAGCCCTGCAGGGCCCACGGCCTCAACCGGAGCAGTTCAGGCTGAAAGGCAGGCGAGGGGAAGGGCTGGGAGGGTCAGGGGCTGTGAGCTCCCAGGGGTCCTCACTTGGTCTTCCTTCTGTGCCCAGCTGAGCCCTGACCATGGATCACTGTCAGACAGGTCCTACCGTCAGCTCCCTTGACCCACCAGCCCTGTCTCTGAATACAGCCAGATACGGTGGCCTGTGATGAGCTGTGCGTCGGGACGGGGGGTGGTGTGTGTAGAACTTCAGCAGGTGCAGCCCAGGCCACTCAGGAGGGGAGTGAGTGGCAGACAGAGGATAGGAGGTAGGGGTGGGGGAGACGACAAGTGGTTGGGAACAGAGTCTGTGAACCCAAAGTCCAGGGGGTGGGGATGCTTGGCTCAGAGAGAGCAGCAGGGCCGGGAACCAGCAGGTGTTGGATCTGCTCCGGGGAACAAAGATGAGGCTGTCCGAGGGAACTGAGAGAAGATGTGGGTGGGTTCCAGTTACCGGCTGGGGCAGGGATGATGAGGAAGCAGAGGATGCAGGAAGAGCCCCAGATCGCAGTGGCAAGGATGGCAGCCTTGGGGAATGGAGTCTGGCAGCCCTGGCCGCAAAGGCAGGTGGCGAGGAGGGGTTGTTTGCCCAGAAGCAGGAGAGGAGACCCGGCCCTGGGGAATGTGAGATGGTTACAGACAGGAGAGCTCCTTGGTGAGATGAGGAGATGAGCAGAAAGCTGTGTGCAGAATGGGTGAGCCACGTGGTAAAACTGGCAGGTGCAATAAAAGGCCGAGAAAGGATGCAAAAAGAGGGATAGGGTCCTATGTCCACCAAGGGAATGCACACAGCGGGGGAGCTGCACAGGGAAGGTCAGCACCGGCCCCTCCCTGCTCTGGGTGTGGCCATTGGAACTGGGTTTCCCTGCAGCCCACAGCAGGGTCCTGATGAACTTTGTGCTGTGGGCCAAACTGTGTCAAGGGCATCTCCAGACCCCAGCCCTCTTAGCTAAAGCCATGAGGCTTCCCCCTCTGTCCATGGAATCTGGCTCTTATAGGAGCACAGGCAGCCCATGAGCTCAGGCCAGGAGCCCTCCTGGGGGCCCAGGTGCAGGACACACAGGCTTCCACTAAAGAAGTCTTTCAGACAGATTCCCCCATCCCTCTTGCCCAGACATGGAGGCTGCCCCAGCGCCCCATCTGGCCTCTCTCATCGTGGCCCAGGAGGGTTTCCACCGTCCCAAGAAGAACTTGATGCTACAGGTAGGTGGGCTAAGGTCAGAGTGACTCAGCCCTGGCTGCAGCCCCGGGGTGACTGCTGACGTCAGAGTTGTCTAGAGCATTCCTTCAGATGGAAAGCAAAGCAGGTTCCTGGGCCCCAGTGATTTTCCAGTAGGGTAAGAGCGGGGCGCAGCCATCTATTTTTAAGTGTTGTGGCGTTTGCAAGCACACAGCCCAGACTAGAACCCACATGGGTGTCGGTGTCTGCCATGCACCAAGCTGTCCTTCCTGACCCCGTTGTTGTCCTGGTGTCTTCCTGAAGCCAGGCCAGTGGCGGGGCTGGGGTGGGGGGTCACCTGTCTGGGCGGAGGGGAGGAAGCAGCATCTCCGCTGGTCTGCAGCCCTTACCCTCACCAGCGAGGAGTCGAGGAGTCGCTGGTGAAGCCAGGGCGTGCGCCTCCCCACAGGGAGCTGCTCAAGACAGCCATGGGGGCCTCAGCATGTCTCTCCCCACCCGGCCACAAAGCTGTGGCCTCCCTGAACCCAGAAGGAGCCAACCCCGTAATCCTGGTCTGGAAATTTAATTAGACATTCGGCCTGAGTCTGGAAGACTACAGAGCTTGTCAATTTGTAGGAAAAAATGATGGCCGGCCTGGAGCGGCCCCCCAAGCCCGCACTGGCTTTCCTGGGCGCTGCATGGAGATCCTGTGAACAGACCTTGGAGGCAGATGTTCTGCGCTCACACAGCCCCGCCAATATGCATCCCCAGCAGCCAATTAGAGCTGGGCCACTGCTCCCGAGGAGGGACTGGACAGAAGGCAGCTGTGGCTCACGGAAGGCCGTGGTCATGGTTTACAAGGACCGTTCAGGATGGGAGCGTTGGGCTGTTTAAGTAATTGTCATCCAGAGCTGGGCAGGTCTGCTGATGTTAAAACCA